TTGCCCGGGCGGGTCTCGAACCCGCAGGCTCAGGCAATCCACTCACCTCAGCCCCCAAAGTGCGGGATTACAGGCTGAGCCACCAAGCCCGACTGGGCCAATGATTAAGAAAAAAAATATGTGGGTGCAGCGGCTCACACCTATAATCCCAGTACTTTGGGAGGCTGAGGTGAGAGGATTGTCTGAGCACACGGGTTCAAGACCAACCTGGGCAACTTGGTGAGACCTCAGCTTCACAATAAAAAAAAATTAGCTGGGCGTGGTAACACATACCTGTAATTCCAGCTGCTTGAAAGGCTGAGGCAGGAGGATCACCTGAGCCCAGCGGGTTGAGGCTGCGGTGGCCATGAGCGTGCCACTGCACTCCAGACTGGGTGACAGAGTGAGACTTCAACTCAAAAAAAAAAGAAAAGGCGACCTCGGGGTTAAGGGGTGGGGCTGACGTCAGGAGCCAAGATGGTGGCGGTGGTCGGACTCTCCTTGAGGCGCCGGTTGCCGGCCAGGGCACTTGGCCGAGCCTGCCTACAGGCCTGCCGAGGGAACCAGACAGCTGCAGCCACAGCTCCCCGAATCAAGAAGTTTGCCGTCTACCGGTGGGACCCAGACGAGGCAGGAGATAAACCTCGTATGCAGACTTATGAAGTTGATTTGAATAAATGTGGCCCCGTGGTGCTGGATGCTTTAATCAAGATTAAGGATGAAGTTGATTCCACCCTGACCTTCCGAAGGTCATGTAGAGAAGGTATCTGTGGCTCTTGTACAATGAACATCAACGGAGGCAACACCCTGGCCTGCACCCGGAGGATTGACACCAACCTCAACAAAGTCTCAAAAATCTACCCCCTGCCACATATGTATGTGATAAAGGATCTGGTGCCTGGTTTGAGCAACTTCTATGCCCAGTACAAGTCCATCGAGCCTTACCTGAAGAAGAAGGATGAGTCCCAGCAGGGCAAGCGGCAGTATCTGCAGTCCGTAGAAGACCGTGAGAAACTGGACGGGCTCTTACGAGTGCATCCTCTGCGCCTGCTGTAGCCCCAGCTGCCCCGTCTACGGGTGGAACGGGGACAAGTACCTGGGGCCTGCGGTTCTGATGCAGGCCTATGGCTGGATGATCGGCTCCAGGGATGACTTCATCGAGGAGCGGCTGGGCCAGCCG